TCTTTGCAGCCGCACTACGCTTGGCGGCCACGATGCGCACCAGCCCGCTGGTGAGGGATGACGAGAAGAGCGCAGAAAAAAACCGTTTTTAGGCTTGCTTCACATATCTGCAAATGATAAAAAAAGTTTGCTAGTGAATGCAGCAAAATAAAATTTGAAACTCTTCTGATTCTATTTACCAGATGAAGTCGTAAAGCACCCAATAAGGAACAAGGATGCCACTAACACCTCACTTGGCCTACGGAAAATTTAGGTATGTCACCACCATCAAAAACAATATATTTAAAACAATGTTTTATGTGCTTCAATATCTTCTAGTTTCAAACTCCCTATCTATTTAGGGATATTTAGCAAAATGTGTTATGCACTTATGTTCACCCACTCGAAAGTTATTACAATTTTTCTAACACCTTCTAGATGCGCCCGCAACCGAAACAAAGCCTCTGGTATCCCAGCACCTGCGCAGCCACCATGAATGATTTCCAGCCTACATATATCACATTAGTAAGTAGTTTGGCATGATCTAAATCATGTAACATATGAGTTTTTGAAATTGAAATTCAATGACATGGCATAATTTCAATGACATAAAACGGTGTTGTTTAGGTTGCATGGGTTTCGGCTCAGCTGTCGCTCTTTAGTGTGCCACTTGGAGTCGCTAGATTGCCTTTCAATCAGCAAGTTATACTGCTCTTTGAATTATGTTGGATTATAAGAGGAGGAAGAAGCGTCAACACAAGCGTCAGCACACGTAGATCGGTGAACCGGAGACAGAAAACAAGCTAAAAAATGCAGTAATAAGCTCCCTCAAATAAAAATTCTGTGGCGACAAAAGAGCTACTAAGCTATGAACCTAGTGAATTTTAGATATGCGGGATGTTTAGTATTACATACAGTGTCATTTCAAATGTTTATAGCTATTTTTATCTAAACCTTTTATCTTCCATCCTACAGTGACGCAAACAGTGATAACTTTCGTTTCACAGAATATGATGTTATAAGATTTTGCATGTGATCTTCATACGGGTAAATGCGCACTCAGCCTGAATAATTGAAAATCGACTGGAACTTCATGTAGTATGGCCTGTCTGCGGAAAGCAGCCCTACCAAATATAAACTGTCACACTCTTTTTTTAAATAACGCGCTTTATCTTGAATATGTGGTCATCGTGGCAGTCAGATGCACAGGATGTTGTCCTTGTTACACACCTACTGAGTCGTGTTTGAATCACACGAACCATTTTGTAGTCACTTTAGACCAATTGCGGTGCATTTTGATTTTTATAAATTTTTTTGTTTATTGTTTCAGTGACTTCATCGATTTACTTTACTGAAGAACCAGAAGCCAAACGTTTATATGATAACTTTCGATATACAATTGTGCGGTTTTTTTTGTGTGTTCTTTTAAATGTTGTGACCAACCTTTAGGAAAATGCGAAATATAGACGTTGTAGCGAACTGGGCCTTACGTACAGTCATGAGTTCCAAGTATCAGCTGAACTGGCCTTTAAAGTCACTTTGTGCAAAGCACAATTACACTTCGAACCTTTCAACTTCGAAAAAACGAGACACCTCTGGAACCCTTCATATTCTTTGCCGGAAGCATATCTCTTTCTTATATCTCTCTATTTACACAGTCAGTTGTTTAAAAACACTGTATTCCATTTTAGTGTAGACTTCGTACATAGTATGTAATATGTAATAGCACTGTAGAGTGATCTGTAGCACAGTTTTCGGCAATTGTACGACTGCCTAAAAAATCTTGGAATCTTACAAAGACAAAAAAAAGATGTTCAGATGGTTACAAATAAGCAAAATTATTTTTATTGAAACTCATTCATGCAAGTGTAACACTTTTTAGCCGCGGAGCAGTATAGTTCAAGTAAGCGGTAATCATTTTATATGAGCATATCTTACCGCAATGAACGCTTTGATTTTCCGCAAAAAAAGGCCATTGATACAAAAGTAGTCCGGAAAAATTCTCCACGAGAAAAATACTCAAGCAAGCACACAGAATGATCTATCACGTACCATTTGAGTAACTCCCATCACATATGGATTTCTCTCTACATTTTAATCACATGTATACACATGCAGCGACGAAAATTAGGCATGGACACAAAACCAGCAGGTGGGAAATACTGTTTGTTTAGTTTAAAGCGTCCAAACATATAAGCTTAAGTATCTCTTACGCACCAAATTTGCAGTATGATAGGTTTTTTAAAGTTATTATTCAATTAACAGGCTACCTTTTAAGTTTCATCCTGATTTCTTAGTTAGCTACTGTAAGGTACACAAAATGCAAAAATGTCTAGTTTATCCGAAAGTTGAAACCTCAGTAGATATGCTACCTGAATTACTGAATCCACCACAATTACCACTTGTTAAAATGCTGCTCCAGCATTGTAAAAGGAAGATAAACAATTCATGTCCACTATATCGGCCATGCTCTGAACCTGCTTAAAAACAATGTCGAAGGACTAGATAAATTGAAGTGTACAAACCTGTGCGCTTAAGCTTAATAATGAATGTTGACGTCAACCCAAATGGCGTGACAGGGTCTCTGTGTGAAATTTACCGAAAATTCACTTCCAATTGAAGTCCTCATTCAACACTGTTTTTACAGCATCACGGAAGCATTTTATTTATTAAAACTCCATAAAATATACCATCGCAATGTTTGCTTTTACAGCTACTAAGAATTTTCTGTTAAAGGGAACGTTCGACTGATGTTGTACTCCTTAAAGCAGATTTAAAGATTTGATCATAACATATTATTGGTAAAGCGAAATGCCTTGCCCTGTGTACCAACTAGTTCTGAATGTAGATCCAAAATAAAACCGTAACTCTTGTCTGAAGCTGCTCTATATTTAGTTTACAAAGCTGGTGCATGCTATAGGATGATGTTTCTGATTATATTTACATCAAATGAGGTATTTGGAATAAAGCAAGTACAGCAGACAGCTATGTATGTACTTTAAAGTGCGGAAACTGTAAACTCTGAACAGTGGAATATTTATAATGGATTTAAGTCTACTCATAAAGAAGAACAAAGAGACGCGATTTCTAAAGCATGTAAACAGGCACACACCACCACACACATGCAATGACGCGGCAGAAAGCACACCCTTTTTGCACGACAAATGTATGACAAAACAGGCTGTTTGACTGATGCAAACAATATGCGGTGCAAGTAGACGAAGCACTGCTTTACACTGTAAAGGAATGTCCACAGACGGCGAAGATCCCAGGAAAAGTCTGCCTAAGGCACAGATCACGCTGTCTTCACGCACGCACACACTCACAGGCAAATATTTTTACACGCAGAATGCTTTACCAGGTTATAGTGGCGTCCATGTCATCGGCTGCACTGCAATAGTGCGTGTATTATACACACATTGTGCATAAACTCGGATCAAGTTTGCCTATTTTTGCTTTGCTTTTCATAGCGACGATTAATTTGGGCTTCTTTGGCTGCCTTACCGCTAATGAATAACTCGGAGAAATATGTTATATTTTCACAAAATCTAATATTGTACCACAAAATCTAGGTCTGGCTCGATTTTCTCAGAACTCTTTGTGCTTATTGGTTAACTACAAATGCTGTTGAGGTTTTGCCAGAACTACTGTTCATTTGGCACATAAGTGAAAATTAGGAATACCTTAAGTTGCTTTAATTTCCATTTTGCTTACGAGATGACGTAACAAACTTGGTGTTCATAATCCAGCAGCAACAGCAATATTTGCTGATTAGGAAGAAAGGCAAACATGGGGGAGAGCCTTTTCGCTCTAACAGACACGTTCTACATTCATTACTGGAAGAGTGAAGGTACCAGGAGCTATCGCCTGTGCATTCATTTCTGAGACGTGGCTTTTTAAGGACAATAGTCTTTTTTGGGGACCTTCGGCGCCAAAATTTTGATCTCTCTGTCTGTCTGTCTGTACATTTGTTTGTTTGTCCACTCTCAACGGCTTCGGGTATTCGAAACGGCCGACCCTATGCGCAGCGCTTACCAATGTTGCTCAAGGTTCAGCGTTCATGATGGTGCATTTGTAAATTTAAAAGCAATTATTGCGCATGTCTGGGGCACCATAACAGCACGTATGTGTTCTGCATGTGCGCCTTTAACTAGAAAAGGCATACATAAGTAACTTTAAGGACCGTAGTGCTGATCACGCTGCGCTGACCATGCAACGCTTGCACGTAACGAGGAGTGTTTCTAACGCTTTGCTAAGACGAGACGGTGGTGGCACCTACCTGTCGCCTTGCGTTCTACACTTTATCACCTCCGAGTTGGGCGCGAATGGCGTGCGCGCTTCGCTTTTCAAGATAACTGCTAGATAGTGCTTATGTCTCACGTCTGACATGGCTTGATGCGCTCGTTCGCCTCCGCTGCACGCTCGAAGCACTCTAAAACAGCTCCTTCGGAATACCACTCACCGATTTTCTTGCGCAGAACATCAAATAAATTTCTTGTTCACTTTCTCCACACGCAAGACTATCGTTTTTCGATGACATTTGCAGAAACATGCAGATACGGGGCAAATTTTTTTATCTGATTTGTCTTTTAGAGAGTGCTCGCCATTCTGTACGTTCTTAGGAAACATACTTTTTGTCTGTACTGTTTACACTTCATATAGCACACATATATATAGTACCCACCACGCTATTGCTTCCTTGAGGAAGGGTGACTTTTGTCACATGCTTGCTGTTTAATGGCATGTATCTCTGAACCTTTGCACTTGGCATCATGCATGCTATAAACAATATTGTCTAACGGTTGGAAATTCTAACTGTATCAGCAGGGTGATTCTTCGCCTGCTGATTCGGTGATCGACTATTAGGACATAATATAACGCTACAGTTTTTAAAGGGAGGAAAACAAGCCCTTCGAAATGCCATAACGCGGTGATACGAAAGCAGCGATTTTTCTACACATGTATGTAGCACTTATGAGGACATCTTAACTGTAGCGTTGTCGTATTAATTGGGATAGAAATTAAAGATGGCTTTTACTGTTCAGCATTCAACTGAGGTTTCCTGTTGAGAAGTTTGTAATTTGCACTTCATTCTTTGAACACGGTTGAATAAAACCATGTAGACGTATTTCTGTTGTGGCATATTCTCCACACCTGCATGTACATGGCAGTTGTTTCAGAAGTCGTACACCGCCACTTTCCGGAGCCCGAAGTTGTTTGGATGGGGCAGCAAGCACACAAATTATACTGCACAGAAAATCATCGGCACCAACTTTTCTCACCCGTCGTCTAACAAATCCGGACGGTGTATTATAGTACAGGGCTCGAGCTTGGAACGCTTAGCTTATCCACGCATACTGGGTCAGTCCCTCCGAGGTCCAGAATTTGCACTCGGTCTTCTTATATGAGGTGGTTGGCACTACCTCCCACGTGGCGTTGGCACCTCGAAGCAGCGAAACCGTCTTCGGATACCTCATCCAGTCTGCCACGGGCACTGACCGGCCACCAGAGCGCACAAACTGCAGTGCCATTTCTCGGACAACGTCGCGAAGAGCCAGCTCGGGTTCTTGCAGAGTGCCATCACCATCACCTTCTCCCAGAAAGTGGCCCTGAAGGCCAAAGAACGCCACGAGCGTCCACGGGTGCAGGCTGTATGGCGCCTCGTGACCTAATATCTTCACCTGCATTCGAAAATAGGTAAATAATGAAGACAATTGTAAATTTTCGTGTTATCTCAAAAAATGCAAGAAGCGTGTCTCGATCTTAGGTTTTGAACATCATTTTGAATGTGTAGGTACTGAAGTCAGATGCTGTTATCGGATAGAGGGTTTGGTGATGTGATTATCTAGTAGCTCCAAAATATATTTCGTGTTATTTCTCATTTCAAATTTCGAAGTTTATTGAAGGTAATTCTTGAAGCACCAGGATTATTTACGAAAAACACACTAGAGCCACACACATGTCCATTTCCACTCTTTCAACCCCCTCCTGTAAATTGTGATTCTGATCAAAGCCGCAACGTTGCTTGAATTTAGAGCAAGATTCTAAGCGTTTTGAGAAGGCCTTTGTGCACCTTCACATGTACTTCTAAATGCTTGGCCATGCGTGCATGATTTCATTTCCTAAAGGTAAATGAGTTCGCTTCGACGTCCATAACTTTGCCTTAATAAATGACATGATGAGTCTTTTACACCATTGAAAACGTGTGATCAGTAAACGCCTGTGAGGAGGCACTTAACCGCAGCTTCTGCAGTAACGCTGTCTTCATTCTTTGCAATTGCGTCTTTGCTATTTTTACAACAAGAGGAAATTGAAGGAATCGCCGTTTACCGGCTTGGACGGGCGGATTTCCGACACGTATCGGTAGACAGGCGACTGGAACGCCATCGCCAGGTTGGAAGCCATGTTCGCCACTGGACAGGCTACACGAAGGTCGGTCACCATTGTCGTGTACACCAACTCTGGCGTGTTTCCTGCATCTGTGAATGCACAATTACCGTCACGTTCGATTGAAGAGACGATCGCCACCTGCACGTTTATTGGCTTTTTTGGCTCAAGAGCTTTTTACAGGGAGTAGGGTAGGAAAATTAGTGATTCCACAGCTACGGTGTCGACACTATAATCAGGAATTTATGATTAACTAAGCTATGATGTCTTAGTACGGGACTCGACATATTCAGGGGTACGCGGCAGTAAAAGTCACGTTAAGTTTTTGCAAAGATGTGCACACTGATCTATGGTATGAAACCAAGAGTAAAAACACATAGCGAGAAGCTATGTTTCCAAGCGTCTCCGCACAACGTTTTCATGTACTATATTAAAAAGCTGCTGTAAACCTTAGCACAACACGGGACACAGTTATGGAATGCAGCAGCTCATTATTATAAGTATACGACGCTACTAAGAAGTGCCTCCAATATATTGACTAGCTGATTACACCCGTGCTTTTGGATTATTTTACACACTGAAATTATCTAGGTAAGCCACCAGTTTGGTGAACATCGACTTCTTAACTGGGCCGCTTATCATCATTGTAAGCTGCGCGCTTAACACAAGATTGCAATACCCGGCCGAACTGTGGTATTTATTGTGCACATCTCGTCTTTTCTTGACAGTCCAGTAGGCAAAACAGAACTACCAAAGTGTAGGAACGAAATTTTGTAGACCAATAATAGGAGCATATTCACAATTGCTAAATAGGAAAAATAATAACAGGGAAACACGAGATCGCCTAACTATGAAAATATTTTTTATCGCGGAAGCATATTTTGTCTAACCACGTGTGTTCAACCAAGATCTCCTACACAAAGTAAGTTCCGCTCGAGAAAGCATGATCTGGGTTCACATCCGTAAAGACATTTTTAAAGTCTATTCAAGTCTATTTACTGATTATTCAAGTCTGTTTACTGCTTCAGGCTTTCTTCGGCTAGTTTTTTTTTAATTGCTTGAATGAATACGGCTGTTGAGGCTGACAAACTGGTGGTACAGATACGAGGAACACCTAGACACATCATACGTACAGAACTAATTCTATGAAATATTTAACACGCCATCGTTTCGTGTTGCTGTCCCCTCTGAATTTACGCACGTTATTTTTGTGACAGAATTGATGTTTACCAAAGGACGGGGTCATTGTGCAGAAAGAATTTTAGGTGAGATTACGTAAGAGGAGAATCAATCTTTCAATTTCACGACTTTATAACAAAAAAGCCTGGCAAGTGATCCAACTACGGCACAAACAGCTGTCATGGCGAAAAACTTCACTAATTCTTGTCGCTTCGGCAGGAACGGTGCCGCCATCTACGTTTAGTGCAGCTAATTATTACGCTAAAGTACCGCGGGTGAACCTTGGCTAGGCGTGGCACAGATATGACTGTGTTGGACCCGCAAGAAACGCGTTAGTGGGAAGCACAACTCTTTCAGGCATTGTGAGCCTGGACATTATGTATGCCACATTTATGAATCTGAGGAGATCGTAACACACATTCCTGCCAAAGACAGTATGCAGTCTCATCAAAATGGCCTATGCACGCCTGACAAGGATTACCCCCATGCTACACCTCCTGGTCTAAGTCCGTATACTGAAACCAGCCCAATATAAAAATACGCAATAGGCGAAATCTATTTCTTAACATTCATCATTGATTCAACAGCTCCTGTGTAAATATCTCTCGCTTTTGTAAGCTTGAATAAAATAAAGGGCATCCCCCTTTCTTTAAAGACGACAACTTTTCTTGGGATACTTCAAAGAGGGAAGTTTATTGAATAATAGTGACAGCAGTTCCACTTAGTGCAACATCACCACGTTACAAAATGATTTCAGTGGGGCCTACAAACATGAGAGCATAAGCACAATAGAACTTACAGCACTGCCATACTATCACAGCTCTCGGATCATTGAATGCATTAACGAGAAAAGAGAACACAGAAGGTCAGTAAGCTTTAACGGAATCTCATATTATTTGTGAAGAAAAGCAACCGTTTTTCTCCTGTCTGTGACTTTTAAACTGGAGTAGCGGGAAGTCAATATAACCATTACTTACCCCAAAAACTCCGGTATGCCACCTTGTAAGGAAGGCTTCTTTTACATGCGTGTCTATTTGTTTGGTAAGGTACCAATCCATGATAATTCTAGGCTTCTGTAATGCTGGGTATGCAGCTCGTTGTGATTGTCAGCGTGCTTTGGCGAAACAGCGTTGACGCCGCAAAACGAACATCGTGACAGAAAATACGAGTTGTCCAAAAGACACCCCTGACGAGATGTCCGGCCGAATGACGGGGACTCTGAATGGACGCCGCAAAATGTGCCACACGCCAACGACTGCTACGCATTGAAACATAGTATAACGGACTATTTTTCTTTTGCCACAGTTGAGGCAGAAATCATTGGAAACTACGCCCCACTGTCGCAGTCTTTGACAAGTGGGCAATGCATCCCAACGTCACAGTCAAAAACTTCTTGAGCGACTTCCGGCACGTGCTTGTTCCGCCATTTCTTCCACTTGTTGGGCCTAATTTCTGTTCCTCCTAGTCGGTAATTTATCAACCGATCAAAATTTCGTTAAATCGTACGGTTGCGATCTTTCCAAAGCAGTCTTTGGTGGCGTCGCCGTCGACTGAATGCTTGAGGCACACTGATGCTTTATGAATAACTTGTGGTCCCCAGTACCTTTCCGACATAAATGCGGCTCGAATAGTTCTGGCCCACTAGAAAAGTGAGCTACCATCGGGATAGTCATTGTCCAAACTCAGAAATATGGGTCTCTCTGCCTGTACGTCACATGATTCGATCAGTCGGCCATACTTTAGGCACTTACTGAACACTCTGCCATCATGAACTGGTAGATGCGTTCAAACTTAGAAACGTTGTCGATGAAAAACCAAATATTACGCATATCTGAGGCGGAGAATCAACAATTAAGCATTATAGGTGGCGTGTTCCTTTACCGTGAAATACAGACACGTATTTCTAAGGAAGCTAGATTTTTTGTACGCTGCACTGATAATGCGACGCTTTGCACTAAAGAAGGCCAACAGAAGACTATTGTCTTTTTGCGACATTTGCAGCGGAGCACACAGATACGCAGTCAAATTTTTTATAACGTGATACGAACGAAAAAAAAAATGTTTTTACTTATTTTGCTTCTACTTCCTTCTTTCTTCTCTTTCTTTTTTTCTTTCTCTCTCTCTTTCTTTCTTTCTTTCTTTGGGCCTCTCGTTCACAAAATCATCATGGCAAAGCAGCTTTCATCATACGGCGAGCGGCTTTTGCCGCTCTGAAATTTCCCGCCATCTCTCTCATATTTCTCTGTTTTTGATGTGCGCACTTCCCACGTTCCCAAAAAGAAATCCCAAAAGCTGCCCTCTAAGCACACGCAGAGACCACCCCCCCCCCCCCCCCCCCCAAAAGAAAAACTGTACGCAAACAACAAGAGGAACGAACCGGAAACAGGCGCAAACTTTCCCTCGCGTGCGAGCCTCGCTCAGTAGGGTGCAAGTGCAGCAGCGCAGAGTGCTGGCTGGGTAAAAAAAAGGATCCAGAGCGAGCGCATTATCGCGGACTGTAATGCGCTCTGCGGACCGTCGTCCGGCCGCAATCAAGAGGAACTTGTTTTGCGAATCCGAGCGTCGAGTGTGTTACTGCTCGTCGCCTCTGAGGGCTCCGTCGTGGCGGAATTTCGGGCATTCGTCAGCCCCTTTTGTTGCCACGAATAAGCTTTACCGAGCGCGCCCTTTTCCTGGCGCCCTTTTCCTGGGAGTGGCAGCGGTAATTACAGCGAGCTTAATGCTCTCTATCATGCCGTTATGGTACTACGCAAAATTTCTTGCTTTCGTTTGAAACCCGTACTGGCGTAAGCCTTCTCTACATTATTTTTTTTTCGGTTACATAAGACCGTAAATGAAGCGCACGCAAGAGAGTCTGCTTCCGCTTCACTGGCTAGACGAGAACATTCGGATTATTAAGCTCGCGTAGCGCCGTGCTTAATTTCGCGTGAAATTATTGTGTCTCTTACGGAGCTTTGCTTATTCCTCGCATCGTTTGTTTCACGTCGTTTATCAAAGCCCCTGGTTCGATAACTACTCAAGTTGCTCACTAGATTTACATCGTTCCTTTGTTGACATCAATTTGTTGATTTTTTCTCGAGCCTTATAATGAGATTCTACTGGGTGTTGCGTTTTGCTATTCCTGGTATGTTTACCGCAATGTTTTTTTTGTGTGTGTGTAGCCGTTGCAAAAACAAGACTTGCGAATCAGCTGTTTACCTTTTTTTTTCCTTGCGACACACAACACGTGGTTAAACCCACTTTCTCATGCAAATGCTACGTCCCCGCAGTTAAATTTTCTGGGACAAAGGTACTCGAAATAAATCCTGCAGGTTGCTAATTGTGCCTATAGGAAAGCGGTACGAGAAGATGCAGTAATAGGAAAAGCATCATAAACCCCTCACTGCTATGGTATTTGAAGTGATTGACCCGGAAATATGCTTTTCTTCTCTGTAAAAAAACATATTTTAGTAACACAAATGTAATGTATTATCAGGTATAGTACAACTGTTTTTACGATATTACTAACTGGCCAAGCTTCTTCTCGTGGTAACGCCAACGGCACCTGCAGAAAAAACCATCGCCGCATAGGGAATTCGACAGAAATGCATAAGAGTATCTTTTTTGTTATTTCAAGGCATGATAAACGTATTGTCTAATATGTTCTGATGTTTATGCGTTAATTACACTTTTTTTCTGGCTCTTAAAAGTGAATGATAGACAACTTTTGAACTTGCACTCATACGCTCATTGCCTAAATAACCAGTGACTTTACCTCTTTTAAATACAAGTATGAGAACCAAAGAGTAACCCATTTATTACATTTTGAGTCTCAGCGAGTTCCGCCACCTATTTTATCTCTGCATATATTGCACGCAACACTAAGTCACGTGAATAAATTTTTACCAACATAGTTGTTTACAACTGACGCTTGTACAAGGGTCCCTGCAAGAGAAGCGTGGTATCAGCCATTCTAATTACTCGATGAAACAGCTTCGGGTTTTGTGCGTCGATATGTCGTTTAGTGTAATACTTGTGCAGTATAACATATATTATTATTGCTGTTTTTGATGTTTAGCCGATTGATGGGTACGACTTAGAGCAGATTTGCCGATCTTACGCTCACAGATCTTTATTTTTTTCTCCGCATAGTTAGAGGGTGCATCGGAAAATTTATGCGAAGTAAACGGACCTCAATTACAATATTGCCTTCTGTGTTCGAAGGCTAGGCTTAAACGTTGTTCAGTACACTCAGTGATAACAATTCTGCCAACAAAATGCGACCCTGTCGGACGTTGTGGCAAAGGGACTTCATCAGAGTGGCGTCTCCTTGGCTTACTGTATATCCATTCTTTGTGGGCAAACTAAGAAAGAAAAAAGACAAGCTTGCATGGGAGGGATGTTCATAATATATAGCCTCATATCATCGTACGGGATGCATCACTGATAAAGTCTCCTCTAATTTCTGGCATAATCAGTGATGTGTAAAATGTGCTTCCGGTTCAGTTACGCCATCTGTAATGGTTACCTGTGGCATTCGTCAGGTTATACAGCTGAAGGGCCATCTGTGTGATACCGGAGCCGAAGCTGTCGAGGCTTGTAGTGACGTATTTCTTGTATTGATTCCAAGACCAGTGGCTCAAGTCGTCTGGCCCCGGCCAGATATCGATTGCTTGAGATGACGACCCTGAAACGTAATAAAATGGCCCGTCGAAGTGGTTAGAACACTAATAATTCTGGATTAAAGGAACTGCTTGCACTTATCTTACTCTGGCACTTTTGTAAATATTCACTTTTTTTAACTATCGCAACATATGTCATTTCTCGCAGTAACTGTATGTTGTTTTCGCCAGTTCGATAAATGCAAGGCTGATTTTTGATTTCAATAATTGATATGTAGCGTGTAACGTCCCAAATTACCGTATGATTATGAGAGATGCCATAGTGGAGGGCTGCGGAAATTTTGACCACCTGGGATTTTTAACGTGCTCCCAAATTGAACAAACGTGCCTACAACATTTTTGCCTCCATTAAATATACAGCCGCCGCAGCCGGGATTCGATTCTGTGACTTGCAGGTCAGCAGCCGAGAACCTTAGCCACTATAAACCACCGCGGTGGGTCTACAAATGCAAGAACAACTAACCACATGTTAGGTGCGTAGCAACTACGATGACCCCTTAGTAAATTTTCCTTCACTCGTACAAACGTAAAAAAAATTCTGTATAATATATGTCTTGTTGATCATCCAAACAATTTTTTTTTTCATTTTACGAACGTACTAAACTAAAGACGCACTTCTTAGGGTACAAAACTTAGAAATCTTGTTTCCGGTATTTTGTTGTTGGAGGTACACCTTGCAAACCATGGAAAGTCTTACCAATCAAGATGGGAATGTCGCACTTGGTATTTCCTTCGATCATTTCCAGTGGGGGCTTCGTCAGTGTTGTTCCTATAAAATGAGAAAAGACACACATGATGGTTGTCTTTCTTATTATTACGTTACGTATGGTTAGCTAACATTTCAAAAAACATTGTATGACCACAAGTAGACATTTTATCGTTTGAGTGATAATGCTAAAGCTGGTGTTCATCACACCTGGTTAACCAAAATCTTACACTGTTGAATTCTTCAGGGCCCGAACTAATGTCCAGCGCACTCGAATATCAAAGCAAAAAGAGCAAGCTCTGGCTTTATAGTAACAAGATAGTACAGTGCAACACTCGCGGAGTAGGCTTTTCTTCCGCGGCCTTGTCAGCATGGGACACAGTATGACACGGAAGTACCTCGACAATTACAAGGAAATTGTAACCAGTCTCTACAAAACAAAAGTTAAGGTGGTTGAATGATTACTTTTGATGTATTTCCTAAATTGTAATGGTAAGGCAGCGTGGTGTTTTGGCATGTTCGTAGCACCATTGTTGGAATGTGGTTCATGCTTTCGTTCAAAATTATTTACGTAAGCAAGCGACAAACTTTAAGACTTAAAGCGTGCGCATTGGCTTTACTGTCAGCTTTGTTTTGCTTCTTAAAAATAATGGTATATTCACTAGAATGCCGTCTATTATGAGACGTAGAACGTACAGGATCAGTCAAAATTTGCCACGCCACTATCCCTTATATTACTATGGAAGCGTGGCCTGCAAACTTTTGACTAATACTTTACCTTACAAAACGGTAAAATCTTACCTTCAGGTGAAAGTGATTCGTTTTCCCGTTTATTTTTAATGATGCAAATAATGAAACAAGGTCTCTGTCTGAAGTGTAAAAACTTGAGCTTGCTTGCTTGGCTTCATAGACTGACAGCACTTACTACATGAGTATTTATTTTATATGTACACAGATGCACCTCTTTGGGAATTGGAGTAACAAAAAAAACATCGTTGATCACTCTCGTTCAGAAATCAGTACAACACACGAAAGTGAAACACGTCTGCAGATTAGTAGTTGAAGGTTTCTCGCAGATTGAGATTTTATGTATGTTAGTGTGAAGAGGCTACAGAACCCTTTGATCTTCATGCGTGAATTTTGACGCATGGTGACACTTTGTCATGACGACAAGCAATGACTCGTGACTGCGATTCATTTTCCGGAGTCAATGCATTGCATGCATTGCAGCATCGCGCAAATCATGCGTGAGAAACCTAGCGGGTTTTCACAAACTCCTTTTGTGAACTCACAAAATGGTTGTTGTTAATGTCGAAACATGGCACTTTTCTTCTCCGCTCCTAGGTGTGGTACCACATCGATAAACAAAGAGCTGATCTACAAAGACAAGAAATGGCATACATATTTAAGGCGCATCTGAAATACTCTCTCCATATGCGCCGATGGCATAGTCGCTTAAGCGCCCGGTATCTATCGCCACGGGCTGGGAAGTTTTGGGTTCGGCTTACTTTCAGGTTCAATGTCACCCAAATTTGCGAAATTTCTTCTTCTGGCTTATTTCCGTGCGTTCTGTCCGTATAAAGCTTCACAACTCAGCGCATGAGTGCCGACCAGTCTATGAAAATACAGTGCTCGCGTGCTTACATAATGTTTGTCGCCTATAGTACGAACGGTAGTGCGCCAACACGTGATGGCTCAATACGAACGCTTCGTAGATTTCTCGGGCGTGGGCATCAAGATGTGTGCGCAAGGTGCACGGCTTGCAGCTGCTCTCAGTTCGATTAAATGTCTAATTTCTTCCAGTTTTCGCCTTTGCGTTGTCCTTGAACTCTCGCTGGTGGTCGTTGACGTAGGGACCAGTCTGCAAGCGGTTGCATATTGGTGAGGCGAATCAACTTCCTTGCACTATGAACCCAGCTGGACTGAAGCTGAGAACACCAATCTTACGCTGACACGTGCAACTACTGTCTTAATCTAGTGCGAAACACCATGCAGGTATGGAATGACCACCATCTTCGCCATGTCACCTGTAGCAACAGTTCTCGCAACCTTACGGTTCTCGTGCAGAAGCAGAAATTGTTGAGCGAAGCGAGCCTTCTTCATTACACTAACTTAATAAGTAAAGCAGGAAGCGATTTAATGCTGACACGACCTATTTAAAGTATTCTTCATAACACAAATAGTGATAGCCCGTTTTATGAACTCACGTTGGTGTTATCAAATGGTGGAGCGTATTTTGCGATGAATATATAAACGGGCTCTTTCATCTCAACTCCCCCCCCCCCCTATTTATATCCGTTTCCCAAGAAGGGCATAAATTTGTACCAACGAAACCAACGCTCAAGTGTGTAGCCAGTGCCAAGCCTTGGCACTCTTTCATGCCTCGATTTTCTGTACTTTTAGGTGTTACCTACTTAAAGTCTGTGCCTTAGATATGTATTTCAGCATTATGGGCTCAAATTAAAATAAACGTTGAAAAACACTGAAGTATGGCAACATGGACACGAAATATAACGATAAAGTGACTCCTATTGCTGGCCTATTCACATATTCTTGCGCGTATGATGATGTCCCAAATGCGCCACTCCTATGTCTTCTAACTGACATATATCAGTAAGACAAGCAATGGAAGCAATACGTGATGGGCTTGCAGTGTATACTCTGAAAAATGGGTGCATAATGTTTGCAGTGAAATGACCTGGGATCCCTGGCATTGGCAAGTCGTTTAGTGAATGCGGCGTGCCCGACTCACGGAGCCTGTCCAGCCATTGCCTTTTCATGCTATTTTAGTGAAGGAAATGAGCCAATGCAGCGCGGGCGACATCGAAGAAAAATTCGTATTTGCTTGCTCACCGTCTACGACGAGAAACTGCTCTGGAAATATCCCCTGAATAGGCAGGTCGTTCTGGTCTCTGATCCTGAAGGATGGGTCGTCTTTACCCAAATGGGCTTTGATGACGTCGTGACCGCTCAGTCCTCGCAGGCACGTCGCGTTAGCACAACCAGAACGCTGCTGGAAAAATGCCTTGTTGTGCTTGGCAACCTGGGTGGGATAACGTCGGATGAAGTTGCGTAGTGACGCATCAGTTTATACCTTATATATATATATATATATATATATATATATATATATATATATATATATATATATATATATATATATATATATGAAATCTAACAGACAATAATGCCAAGGAATGTACCGGGGAAGTTACTAGAACCAATGAAATGTAAATAAGAAGAAAGAAATGTGGTGAAAAAATAACTTGCCGTGAGCAGGAATTGACCCTACGACCATCGAAGGTCATAGGTTCGTTATTGATGAAATAGTTTTCTTAGTGTTGTGGAGAGTGTGAAAAAAATGAAAACTTGATGGGGGACACTTTAATAACAATACCTGTGGCTTTAAATATGATTATGAGAAACGCCGCACTGTAGTGCTTTAAAAATTTTTTAGCATCTGGTGTTCTTCAACATGCACTAGCATACCACGATACGTCGGCCTATAGCTTTTCGCCTCCATCAAAATTCGATCGCCACGGCCGGGATTGTACCAGTGACCTTTGGGTGAGCAATCGAGCAGCGTAGCCACTGTTAGACCAAGGCGGGTTGTAGGACACTTTAGACCCACTTTCCAGAATGTGTTAGAGTAACCGAGCTCCGGGCGCAGCGCTTTCTTACTGCTAGCGTAGCTTTGCTCACGCACCAAGCCTTAACTCTGCGTAAGAAAACGAATGAATATGTGGGAAACATAGGTGGAAACATGGCCCTTTTGACTACAAGAACACTTCATAAGTGGCCTACATGCTGTAATAATTTCCTTTGATAGGCACTGAAACACCTACTACGTGTCCATGCATTAAGGCAAACATGAAACAATGACGTTGCCACTACTGTGGACACCGACACAGACACTGGAATTTATGCTATGGAGCACGCCAAATGCTATCGCCTTAAAGCAGGGATGGTCTAATGTACGTAACTGCACATTCAGTTTTTTTGCTGTTTTACTTTGCTTTACTTTGAATCGGTCATTAGTCACATGCCTTGCTCCCATGCTAAGTCGAATGGGTAGGAATTTTCGTCTGGTCATGCTGTTTTTCCATCAGGCTACAACCATGAACCACCTGTAATAGTGACGTCGAAATAGCGACGGACCAAGGTTTGTGTTAAGTTACGCCGAACGGGCTTGAAGAAATTTTTTCCTTTCCCGAAACAAAATAGAACAAGACAGGGAGTTCTGTTCGTCATAAAAAAGTACTTCGTGGCCATTACCCAGCGCAAAATAGGCCAGCAGCCATTACGTAAATTATTATCACGTAAACTATTATCACTCGTGCCAACAGTTTCGAATATTGTATGTAAATTTGAAGTTGTTTGATCGAAAATACCACTCAAAGTCTCGACACATTCAGGCACAATTCGCGTGCCTGAATGTGTACTTCTGCTGAAATCGGTTCCCGAGAAAAATAGAACAAAAGAATACAGACTTTAAGAAACACTTGTTTGACTTCATTTGTATACAGTTGTTCCATCTCGCACTCTTACTATTACAGGCACCACAAAATAATATTATGGATCGACTACTTTTGTTCCGATGACACATGCCATAAACACTGCCAAGCAATGAGCTGCTTTTTACCTGCGCGTACGTTCTGTTGAGTACTGACGATGGACCATCAAGCCAGGCTGCCCTGAAGAGGCGCTCCCAGCCAGCTTGGGGTCCCGCTGCCAAAATCGCTAACGCAAGTGAGGCACCAGCATCGGCGCCCACCACGGTCACCTGAAGTATGCAAATAAGCTTTTAGACTTTCCAGTCGCGTCCGATGAGACAATGTTTGACCGATTGCGTAAGTATAAACATCGAAGAGCTCCCACAATGCAAACGGACTAACCCTGCAATCAGAAGAGCCCACCTAACTAAAACTTACGAATATCTTTTGGGCATAGCGTCATGCTATTGTGGGGGATTTTACGTTTCAATATTTTTAACGTGTTATTATGCAACGTTGAGTTGTTAAGAAAAAATTCACAAGCATCATACTTAATGTAACTTTGGCTGCCACCTTGAGCATTTGTTTTACACCCTCCAGAGCCTCATGGAAACTGCACTTGTTTGTCTCTTACTTCAATCCAGATTTTATATAAATTTATCAGTTAATGCGTAAGTATTGCAAGTTCACTAGTGTAAGCGCAATGAAGCGTGGAAGTGGTGAATCTATTTAACAAATGAGCATACTGAATTCAAGCTCACAACTTTTTTTTTCTGAAAAAGTGTGTATAGATATGGATATATCAATACATGCTTTCTAGGCATGTTAAATACATCGAAACGAAATCTATACGGTAAATAAACACCTTGATTAAACAGACAAAAAAATCCTTGTGTTAGTGCTGGTTCAAGAAAGGATCACCTGTCATACGATATCCAAATTTTTTGACGATGCAGTAAATAAACAAACCTTCGTCACGTCTTGCATTTAGTCTTTTGTACACTTTTATTGACTAAAAAGATGACATCCCATCGTTCCTTACTAACCTTCAGAAAAGAAGCGGCTACATATGTCACTCGCTTTGCGCAGCTTTTGCATTTATTAAGGTCTGTTGTCACGTCTAAACAACACAGGACAAACATTAGTAAATCATTAATTCCACTTATTTCCTGCTAAGTGTACATTTCTCTCAGTTCATGGTGGTAACCAGATGACCAAGCTACGCTGAGTAGAAGCTCTCTGTGGTATTTCTTTTTTTTTTTCAGAAGAATGAAGATTTAAGCGTTGGATAACGAGGTGTAAATTGCGAATTATGTGCAGAAGCGTTTTTACATTTATATATTCACTACAGCAGTGTTAAACGGCATCCGAACTTTTCGTCCTACGCATACATTCGCACTTCGGCAAACAAGCTTAGCCGGGACGTGTGTTAATTAGGCGACAGAACGGTTCACCTTCTCAGGGTCCCCTCCGAGGGAACGAATGTTGTCGCGAACCCACGTGAGAGCCAGCGCTGCGTCCCACAGGCCGTGGTTGACTTCGTTTCCCAGCGCTGTCAGAGCGAGGAAGCCCAATGGCCCGAGGCGGTAATTGAAGCTGACGAGTACGGCGTTGGTAAGTTTAGCCAGCCGCCCCGAAGGACTCAGTCCCGGCTGGTGCCCGGAACCCAGCTGCAGGAACCCGCCATGAATCCAGACTAGAACATCCATACTGGCCTAGAATATATAAAAGGAAATAAAGGAAGACGCAGATATTAGTGAGCAGTGGCAGTTGTGTATTCTAGTAAAACCATCTGTAGAAAGGGGTTGTGCATTTGCGCAAATATGTCGTATACAGAACGTAAGGAACAGGGAGCTATTAACTGGTTAGCGACATGCAACTAACTGTCAATCTTGAGTGACTGATACCTGAAGGGCAGTGATCAGCGAAAGATGAAGATAAAAAAAAGGAGGAAGATGACAGAGGGGCACACTATAAATATGGAAATCAAAACAGGCCACAGAACAAATACCAGAAATTGCAAAATGCCTTTCTGATATGCATGATGACGGCGCGGTGCATGCTTGATATTGTCGCGACTATTACGATTTGTTTAAAAATATGTCATAAAAAAAACAACTGAACAGGCCTTGTGACGGCTGCTAAGAGAGTTTGTTGTATATCAAAGGTACACTGTGCTGCTGCGATCTTTCCTGCCGCATACACAACCACCAGGCTTCGCTCAACATTATTACCACTTTTTTGTGACCCATACGGTCTGCATTCATCCAAAAAACCAGACAAGGCCTTATTGAACTTCTGGCGTGGTAGTGGCCCATTGAATAGGCTATAACCCCCCCCCCCCTTTAGTTTTTGTTTTGTTGGCGCGTCTACTCTTCTTTTTCCGTGCCTCCTCATCATACATCCCCATTCCTTCTTCCTTTGTACAGGGTTGCAAACCAGATACTACAATTCCAGTTAACCTCTCTGCATTTTTTTCAATTCATTCTCTCTCTGTCTTAATGCTCCCAAGACCACAGTTAGTTTTTTTGTTATTGTTTCCTGTAGCCCTATGAAGTGCAATATTCGGTCTAGAGTATCTGTACGAGCGCATGCCTTATTTTTGCCGAACTTTTCGCCGGACGAGGCGTTAGAGAGCAAAAAAAAAAAAAAAACCTTTAGTGTGTTCGAGCACCGCACCACAGCAGGGCTACAGCCAAATCTCCCCGAAACTACCATCAGCTGATTTATGATCGGGTACATCGATTACTGTCAGACTTCCTGAACGCATTGCCAGTAACGCTTTGTTTTCGCCCTTATATTATTCTATAGTCTTTTATTATAGAGTTGTGGCGCAGCCTTATAGAGCTGTACCTTTGCCGTTTTGTATCGTATCACGTGAATTCACGTGACGATATACATTAAAAGAAAACATTCATTTATCAACCATTCGTGGCTGCGACCATAGGCCTTTCGTGAAATTCTACACACCACACTAGTGATACTCTCGCAACCCACGTTATGAGCAAGCGTACATAATCTTTACCCAGTTAAAATCAGTCGGCTAGGGGCTGCGAGGTTTGTTTCGTCATTAACTGAAGCTGAGCCACAACTCGCAGACATGATACCCAGCAAGAAAGACACAATTATTTGCGCGTCCACAGCAGCCGCACGGACGCTGCCTGCCAGCCATTCAGACGTGCACCTAATTCTGTCTAAAGACATGCCGGGCATTGTCATTATCGTCCATTCAACTGTATCAGCAACCCACGTCAAGGATGGCTGCCCGCTATTAGTAAATTAAATTCTGCTTTATCGGAAATGAAAACTTGTGAAAAAGTAGAATGCTCTATTGGCTTGGTGACCCGCTAGGCTACGTGAACTAGACCATGTTTGCCTAAACAGGTTTTGATGGTGTCAAGTGAAATAATCTAAAAATGATCTTCTAGAATAGTCTTTACTCGAGTACCGCTATTGCTCTTTTACCATAACAGCCTTCGCACAGTTTCTATAAACCTAAAGTGGAGGTGATAAATACCGGTACATCAGCATTTTAGGGGCGAAGCTCCTTAAAGCAGCACCCGTTGGTCCCTTGCAGTAGTCGTAGTCGTAGTATGTAACCGGTCTTACGTTTTGACCTGCAAGGTGGTGCCGGTGGGATATTTCTCCTGTGCGTTGTTGAACAATAAAAAATTCGCCGCGTGCGCGTTAACTCAAAGCCGAATTCTTCTGTCTCTTATTCCTTATTAGCAGCTATTGGCATGTACATTGAGCACTATCTGACGAGAAAAGGTTGCTAGGGTATACTCACTTGGTGTAACCTCCTTGGGTTTAGAAAGGTTTAGCGAGCGTTGGGGCACATTGCCAGGAATACAGTGAACTAGTATATACCATGAACTCGAGGTGGTTAAAGGTGGGAAGTAGACACGAAGTGCAAGCCGTAAAAAAGTGTGCGTGTGCCCCCTCTCGTTTTGTCTTTGGAATGTCCGCTGGATGGCGGTGCTTATATATGGAGAATATATGATGAAAAGATGCGGGATGGTGGTACTTGGAGTGTTGAATAGATGGACGAACGGACACACAGACAGATGCATGGACAGATACAAGGATGGCTGCACGGACGGATGGACGAATGGACGAACGCATGGACGGATGCATGGACGAACGCAGGGACGGATGCACAGATGGACGTGCGGACGCACGAACAGACACACGCAAGGACGGGCGGATGGACGCATGGATGGTCACACAGACGGACGCATGGATGGACGGAAGCAAGAACGAATGAACGGACGGATGCTTCGCCTAACTCTCCATTATTTGCTCCGTGGATACGCTGCCATTTTTTCTTCATTACCAAACTTCAAAAACTAACTTATTTTAGAAAAAATTACAGACACGTGGCTGAGTTTCGACAAAAATATTGTAGGGATCGCGATATCTTAGAAACGTTTATGAAAACAATGTTACGTCAATAGGCACTAGTCAAGTACGTTTCCATTCTACTGGAAACTGTACAATCCCTTGACCCAGGCTTCTTTTTCTGTCATGAAGATTTCAGGGAAGCAGCAAAGCAGAGAAAACAGAGTCCACCCACAACAAGACACCCTCTCTCATATTCCGGTCACAAGAGAGTGTGCGTGGATGGCAGTGTCAATCGAGCTCACTCATTGCACAAGGGAAGAGGTAGCACTTCTAGATTCCAATTACGCTCGAACTCCAATAGATTGACGCTCCATTTCCAGTTCAACAGTGCCGAACGGAGCTGGCCACCCGTGACGAATGCGAACGCACCAATCCCCGAAGAAAAACAGCTATCAGGAAAAAAAGGAAAACAAAGAAAAAAAATGCCACAGTAAAAAAAAAATGTGCGAGCAAGAAGAAAAACTATGAAGCAAACTGGGCCAGAGAGAGTTTTGTGGTGAATATACACGCCAAAAAGGAGCTCACCATTACACTGCACCAAAGACGCCTTTCGCGTTTTTTTCTATACATAGCTCCTGGGACCCTTCCTTTAAATCGACCGCCGGCTGCGTTGTCCCCACGCAAACGGAACTCGACCTAAGTCCACGGCCACATCTTTCCCTCAGAGTCCTGGCCACTGTCGCTGACCCCCGAAGGAAAAGCCCTCCGGCCGTTCACGGTGGCCTAGCAGCCTCATCGATCTTTGCAGTGGTGGCAGCACAACCTTTAACGACACTCCTTGGGAGTTCTTTTCGCTGAAGTAGATGCTCGTTTTCTTTTTAGTTTGTTTGTTTAGAGGCGATGTTTAGCGTTGACGCCGTTTTCTTCATGGTTTCTTGTCCCGTGTGTCGCAAGGACGTATCAGCATTTGTGTACCTTCTTCACATTCCTCAGGCCCACGATCGGGAGAAAATGACGCAAACGAGAACCGGCGAGGTGACTTACGTCGACTATTTGCCGGTTTGCCCGAAGGCGACTTACCTGGAGATAGCAGGTCTCGCATGACGCTTTATATCTGTCAGTGGACTTGGACAAAAAAACGCGGCCGAATGGTTACGGACTGGCGCATTTAGCACGATTGTATCGGACATGGCTTTACTTCAAAGTGATGAGGTGCGCAGATTGGCATGTTCCAGTGCCGATTGCAGATGCAGCGCAGTTATTTTTCATTTATTGTTCCTACATCAAAGCACTTAGAATTATTCAGAATTTATGTAAAGGGAAAAAAATCTTGTGGAAGTAAGCAGCACTCAGATCATAAAAGGCGGGAATGGCTATTCATCTATTCATGACAAGAGGAGGTAGGCGTGCAAATACTGGCACTAAACAAAAGTAAGGACAAGACAAGCGTGCTTCAGTTGTATTACCTTCGTTTTTGTTTCCTCGTTCACAGGCCTACAATATTTTATCACGCGTCTTAATGAACTTAAAAAATTAACATGCGGTTCAAGCTGTAATGAATAACAATGACGTTCATTTGGAACGAGATTTTCATCGAAAAGGCGTGGAGGCATAATCTGAAACATCTTGTGTCGGTCTAATCCATATTTAATGAAGTAATCAGGCTCGCAGTAAATCACTGTATGCAGGCCGTAAAAAGCCCAGTGAAGCTCAAACCAAGGTTAAATTTAACGAAAACGCTCTCGAATAATTTCTTAGGGAGGTTTCGATTAGGGGCTCTAAAGGTTTGGTGTCCCAAAGCCCTTTGTGTATGCACGCTGTGGGTCTAACAAGAGTGAAGAGGTTTTGAACAGGGTCTGCAGCACTTTGGACAATTATTCTATAGGTGACTCCGCTCTTGGCATCCTTCCAAAATTCTGGTACCCTTCCCGTCAAAATACACTTTGTATATAAGGTGGCAAAATTTTCTAACGAAATTTCACCGCCATAATTCAGGAGGTCCATTGTTACTTCATCCTCCCGAGCGGCTTTGCCTCTTTGCATTCTTTCTAGGGCTTTCCCTACTTTCCCCGGTCATTACTGGTAGGATGTTGAATTCTCTTGTACTGTTAGGGTTTCTCACGATGCCAGGACGGTACATATACGTACATAACGCGTGTTTCAAAGTGGCAGTTATTTAGAATAAGCATCGTGAAACAGCCAACAGAAAAGAATAGCTATTCTGGCCGCAATAATAAAACCATTTGAATGTGAACTCAAGACCTATGATATCTTGACAATGAGATAAGATTACTTAGTGAGGCTAGAAGGCTGAACTGTAGTCATGTTTGGAAATGTAAACAGCATTGAATAGTGTTCTCATAATAGAGAC